CCCGTTTTCGGCCGTGCACGTAGCAAGCCAGGTGGCTCAAATCTTGTTCCGCTTCCTCCGAGATCGCTGCAGCTCCTGCTCCGAATAACGCGTTGCTGGCTTGAGTAAACCCTTCAAACGCTTTCCGCCGAGTTTACGGGGGGAGGGGAGCGATTCCTATTTTAAAAAAAAAAAAACCTACCACCATCTCAGCCTGGATCCTACCCCAAATCTGCTTTAGAAGCTTCCCCCCCAGAATCTACATCACCGCGCTTTGGGATACATGCGATCTGCTAACTTAAAACGAGCCCAGCTACAAGATGAACCGTTGTGTTGGCTTAACTTGGGACAGGAGGTGTGCGAGTTTTAAGTAACGCGAGAATCAAGAGAGTTGCCTTGAACGGCGCGGTTTCTTCCGTCTGTTCAGGCTGTGAGTTGGAGGGAAACTAAAAACAAACATTACGTCAGTTCCAATTTACACGGAGGGAAGTTGGCCGATCCCGAAGTTACGCTACTTTCCCACCACTCCACTTCTACTAATGAAACGAGTTCCGTATATTTTGCACGTGTTCATTTAAAGGTGGGTGGGGGGATGTCCGACCCCCGTGACCTGTTTTCCGTCTGAAGGCTTTCATTCATCTCCGTTGAATAAACACGTGCGTGACGCGTTTGCTTTCCTCGACATTATCCTAGCAGCGTTCCTGGGACGGATCCGACTGTAGCCGAATGAGACCCACCGCCCCCCGCCCCCCGCCCCCCCCCCCCACTTCAGATGGCCGGAGCTGCAATGCGTGGGCCTTCAGGGACGGAGAAAAGTCTTCTTTTCCTTCCCGTAAAGAAGACGCTTCTCATCTGGGATGGAAAAGCACCCTCTTGCTCAAGCGCCAGCCCCGTCACCTAGCCTGGATTTTAACGAGCACATTCATCATGACTAAATGTGAATGTCATGCAGTAATTATCGCAACCGAGAAGCGCACGGCGTAACTCAGTCAAACAAGCCGCGTCTCCCAGCCACTCAACCACCAGCTGACTGAGCTGCAGACAAACGGGGCCTTCAGAGGCCACGTGGTTCACTTCCGGAAGGGAGCGCGCGGGGGGTGGGGAGAATAGGCGCTCCGGGAAGAATCGTGTTTTTACGCGCTTGTTCTCGGGTCCTCGCTATACAAAGGTGAATAACCACGTTGCTACCAAAGCCTCGTCGTTTTCTTTAAATAACTTAGCAGCGCGCCAGTTCATGGAGTTAAGATTACAGTATGGCAAACCGGGGCTGGGTAGGAGGATCGCGCTAAAGCGCTAATCTTCCAAGCGTTACCCCCCACCCACCCCGGTGATCCGTTTAAACAAACGAACAAAAAAAAACCCTTCTCAAGTTCATTTGCATATCGGGCCTAAGGAATAAATACGCCCCCCCCCTTCAATGTTTCTGAGAGGCTTTTACGGATTTTCGTTAATGACGGAATTCCCCCAGCTGATCCGCAGCCCTGAAAGGACTTCCGAGGAGGCATACTATAAGTAAGAATGACGATATGTGGCCCCGGCCTTCTTCTGCCTTTCAGAAGAGACCTAAAACTCTGTCGACCCCCGTTCTTCCAACGAGCGAGTCTTGTGTTTCATTCCTCTGAAATCAGACTGTAAACAAGGCACCAGCCTTTTCTCGCATTGCGCGTCTCTCTCTCTTTCTCTCCCTCCTGCAAGGCTCTCTTGCGGCGCTGGACTTGCGCTTGCGAAAGGGCGGCCAGGCTCTCGATCCTTACAGCGCAGAAACCCCCGAAGCTTCTTGCCTGCAGCCCGAGGGTCGCTTTCGCCGACGAGCCGCAATTGGTGACCGAAGTTGAGTCAGGGACACCTCACATCCGGGCTGAGCGCATCCAAGCGTCGCCAAGCGGTTGCTTTGCCATCCTGACAGTTTCGCTCGCAGCCAGTGCGGGTGTCTGGCGATGCGGAAACGCGGCGGCTTTTGGAAGGAAATCCCAGCTGGCCTGACTTTTCCCATCTTCCTCTGAGGCTCACTTCCTTGTTCGGGGAAGCAGAGGATCGCCTCTCGGCTGCACTGATCCATTGCCCTAAATGTTGGCATGACGCAGCTCGAGGGTGTGCTTGACTTACAACAGTTCGCTTAATGACCGTTCGGTGTTACAACGGCACTGAAAAAAGGGACCTCTATCACACCAATGAGCATTGCAGCATCCTGGTGGTCACGTGATTTACATTCGGATGCTTGACAACTGACTCGCATTTATGACGGTTGCAGTGGGTGATGTGATCACCTTTATGCAGCTTTCTGACAGCAAAATCAATAGGGAAACCAGATTCACTTAACAACTGTGTTACTAATTTAACAACTGCAGTGATTCACTTGTGGCAAGAAAAGTCATAAAATGGGGCAAAACTACCTGTACTTCCCTTTGCTAAAGTTTGGCCTGTTGGATCCTACACAGCCTCTCTCTCCCTGGATAACGTAATGTATGCACACACAGTAATATATGCACAGTAATATATGCACACACATTTGGAACTGTACCCTTCTGAAAACACTTCCATGCCAGGGACATTTGGAAGTATGTCAGAAGGCAAAAGGGCATTAGTTACAGAAGGCATTAGTTACAGCAAGCTAGCCAATCCCAAAAGACTGCTGTTGTGTGAACTAGCAGGATCTGCTTTCCTGGAAAAGGCTGAGAGGAGGTGAACGCTTGAGCTTGTTCTTCCCTCTCAATCCTTCTAATAGATTTTATGTGGAGCATTACTTAAATAAATTACAATCCAAAAATTATATCCAGCACCGCAAAGCACAAATACCCTAGCAGGTAGAAACAGCCCTTTTAATGAAAAAGACACTCCATTTCTGAGATGTTTGCACATCAGTACACCATTGAACAGGGTTTATGTTTATTTAATGGAATGGCGATCTAGATCAGATATAAAAATATAAGATGCCACCCAATAATTTAAAAATAAAAGGGATGAGATCCAGAGATTCCATCACTGGATGCTTCCAGGCTACAATATTAGTGTATCATTCATGGGATTTTACAGGAATCCAAACTCACTAGAGTAATAAATACATAGGGCTATACTTTTTGCCTATTCAAAATGTACTGTAAGTTCCATTGAAGTTGAAGTTATAAATGGAGTCCTGATTCTCTTTCAAGATGAGAGAAATCTGCATATATGTTGATTGTGCTACATTATGTAGGAAAATAGTTTAAAGTCTAAATATTCCAAGAAACTCAACATTATTTTGGTGTACCTTTTATCCTCACAATGTATGGTATGTTCCAGATAAAATTCAAAAGTACTAAACGTGACCAAGAGCAGGAAATTCAGTGGTATTCCTAAATAAATATGAAAAAAAAATGTTGCAAGATGCAGATAATAAATGTAGATACTACAAGTTTAAGGCCTAAATCCACAAACCTAACATCTAAAGTAGGGGCATCGGCAATGAGATTAAAAAGCTAAGATCAAACTTCCGGTTTGAGCTTCTTTGGTGACAGACTGAAGCCTCATCTCTCCGAGGCTTCGATCCGTGCTCACTGCTGGAGCGCCCCGAGCCGGCTGGTTTCGGGGCTAAGCCACCCCGTAGAGGTTGTGAAGAGGGAGGAGACTGCCTGCAGGGTTGAGGAGAGTCGCATCTCTCCTCCCCAGCTGGCCATTACTCCCTTTCCCAAAGGCGGTTGTAGTGGTGGTCAGAAATGGCCACCACAAAGAAGAATTCGACCGGAAAAGAATGTGCAGGAGGAAGATAAGAGAAAGTTTTGGTTGACCGGGTCAAACAGCAAAAGCAACAAATAAGGTACCCTGGAATTTAAACTTAACAACATTGTTCCCAAAGAA